TACAAAAACATGTCGAACTTTGTCAAATTTTGATTTTCACATTTAGGCTTAGTTTGTAGGTTTTTTTGCTTTAGAAGCATACTCACCCTCTGTATAGGCTAATCAGAAAGTGCTGCCTTTTTAAGATGTCTATTTTTCGCGAAATTTCCAGATTCGTTTGCACACGTTTGCGTATCAAAATTTCAACATGAAATTGCACGAAAATTAGACATCTGAAAAAGGCAGCACTTCTGATTAGCCTATACAGTGGGTGAGTATGCTTCTAAAGCAAAAATATACTACAAACTAAGCCTAAAATTAATGTGAAAATCAAAATTTGACAAAGTTCGACATGTTTTTGTACATGGTGGGAGTGTGGCCTTTATTTACGGAGGTAGGCCTAGTCCAGTAAATTGGCCACATTTATGGGGCTAATGTCGAGTACAATGGACGAGTTGGAAAATAGTCGAGTTGGCAAACGGTCGAGATGACTCAAAAGTGAAGTCGAGTTGGTCAACCATGTCAACGGACGAGTTGGTCAACGGTCGAATTGGTACGACGATCGAGTTGGTAAACAGTCGAGTAATTGAGTCGAGTTGGCAAACGGTTGAGTAGACTGTAATCCGTCGCACTGACCGGTCCTACTAAACTGCGTCAACAAGCGTCAACAAGCGTCAACAAGCGTCAACGGTCGTCAACAAGCATCAACAAATTTTGTATATGCTTTTGATCATTTAAAGTAGCTTTATATAGTAGAAAAAGCAATAAAGAACATCTTCTGCATATCAGTTAAAGTTAAAATTATTTAAAAACTTGTTTTTTTTAACGCGAAATGTACGACAAATTTGTCGATTAGTGTTGGCTGCCATTTTGTTTACGTGTAGCTATCCCTACTACGCATGCGTGAAGTGTACAGAGCCATACTACGCATGCGCAAAGTGTACAGCGCCATCCAAACAAGATGGCGGCCAACACTAATCGACAAATTTGTCGTACATTTCGCATTAAAAAAAACAAGTTTTTAAATAATTTTAACTTTAATTGATATGCAGAAGATGTTCTTTATTGCTTTTTCTACCATATAATGTTACTTTTAATGTTCAAAAGCATATACAAAATTTGTTGATGCTTGTTGATGACCGTTGACGCTTGTTGACGCAGTTTAGTAGGACCCGCAATGACCGGTCATACTAATAAGCGTCAGCACACAGTCAACACACACACAGAAGTGTCAACACAGCGTCAACACAGTGTCAACACCTCCAAAACGCATTCAAATTGACAAAACCAGTGTTCAAACCGTACAGTATGGGCAAAAATGAAATTGTGGCTGAAAATCAATAGGTCAAACGTTTGAAAATTGCAATTTTCAGTTCAAGAAAATTGTCTCTCCGTGCAGCTCAAAAATCGGGCGGCCATGTTGGCTCAGGGGCAGCGCGGACCATACCATCATGACCATTACGCAACGGATAGCATTATACAATAAATCAACAGAGGGCGGTCGTTACATGTGAATCCGCATACGACATAATTTCATTACCTCCACACCCATATCTGAAATGATGTCGTCCAAGCTCCGTGCGGAGGCAAGATGGCGGACAACGGCCATGCTGCTTAGAGATATTTTTTCGCGAGAAAAATCTCCATTTCCGTAAACGAAGTGTAACCTCTGACCCACCTAAAATCTCTTTAACTCTAAACTTTACAGTTTATGCCTTTTTTTGTCAATATAGAATGCGTTTTGGAAGCGTTGACGGTGTGTTGACGCTTCTGGAATGTGTTGACGCTGTGTTGACGCTTATTAGGCCTACTAATATTAGTATGACCCGCACTGACTGTACACGTTTCATGGACATCGACACCATAAACACAGAACACACTAGCCTGACTGCATCTGGCCGTACATACTATCGCAAGCTCTGTAGTACGGCCAGACGCCCAGTGCTCCCCTAAACGCTGAACTCTGATGTAGCGATTTTGCTACCGATTTTGAACGAGATTATCTTCTCATCCAGGGCAGTAATTTCCAAAGTTAATGTTCCTAGTCGTAGAGGAACTCATACCTTTCTCAAAAAAATGTTCTTTAACCCTAACGGAACTTAACCCATCAAAGTTCAATAGCAGGTTTTGTTTAAATCTGTTGGGATAGGTACAGTTCCCCTAAACTGATGGTCTTTTAAACTGGGGTCGGCATACCTCCAGAAACTAAGTCCAACAGTGTGTGTGTACAATTTCCCATGTGGGTGTTGGAATTTGCAAGAATGGGTATGGTTCCTAGTAAATTAGGCTGGGCAGTTAGGGTTAATCTAAAAATCTTCATCCATCTGGCCAACAGATGACTTTCAGTCATCATCTCCCACGAATATTGCCGCGAAAATGTTCCTCCATGCAATTTCAAAATGGCGGCCGCGTTGTAATGTATGCATTATGTGAGGCGCGCTTGAGCAAAGTTATATGCATTTTTAGTTCATGACCTCGTGTTTGTATGGCCAGCCGCCCCGCGCCTGACAAACGTAATGAACTGAATGCATATTCATAATCTTGCCCAAGTGCGCCCGCATAATGCATATATTACAAAGCGGCTGCCATTTTGATATCGCATGGAGCAACATTTTCGGGATGATATTCGTGGGAGATGATGACTGAAAGTCATCTTTTGGCCAGATGGATGAAGATTTTTAGATTTTTAGATAAGGCCAAAAAAAAAAAGTCTTCGGTTTCTGGTATGCGCGCGCGTCGCCATAGCCATGCGCGTCGGCAAAATGAAAAAGTTTTTTTTTCAATACAAGATGATGTTTCAAAACCGCCAAACTCACTGGTTTGACTGGAATTCTGCTGCTGCACAATTTTAACGTGTTTTTAGAAGGGGTTATGATCGAGAAAAAGATTTATGTGGCCTCTCTGGACTCCCATATATTTGCACTACGTTTAGTCGGGCACCATTTGCAGTCATCAGCCGACATTTGAAGCCACTTTTAGGGCAAGCTCCATATTGTTGATGTACCCTAACGTGGCGCGGCCCCTAACGTGGCGCACTTTTATTTTTCGCCTGTAGCGCCTAGCTAGAGCAAAAGTTTTAACTGAAATTTCACAGAAAGTGAAATTTCATCAAGTTCTAAACACTCCCGTTCATAAATCGTGAGTTTATTTACCCGTTACAAAGTTAAAAGAAAAAAAAAATTTGGCGTGATTTTCCGATTTTATTTTCAAGTGCAAAGTGAACCCTTTGAAAATGCCCCGAAAAATAAGAAAATAATTTTCTGACAAACATCTGGCTGGGTTTGTAAGTAAATATATTAATGATTTTATCAGAATTTATCAAGTTTACAGAAATTCTTCAATGTTAATTTGGAATTTTCTGAGATTTCTTCAAGTGCGCCACGTTAGGGAACACTCCGCCAATTTGTGCCCAATTTCCGGACGTGACCGTTTTTGCATTTCGGATTAAATTTTATTAAACCGAAATTGTTCACAGAGGTTAAATAGCAAGCATTAAAAAGGTATAAGTACCAGTATTTCACTGCATGAATTTGAGGATTATCAACAAAGAGGTTTGGCAACACTACACGAGGAAAGTTGGGTAAGCTTCGAAGTGCGCCACGTTAGGGAACACGACTATACCAGAAACCGGAGACTTTTTTTTTTTGGCCTAACCCCTTACTTTTTTTTTCAATTTTGACCCAAAAATGAAATTCCTTGAAACTTGCTAGAAAGATGCCATAGGGACCCTACAACACATTCCAAGTCCAATTGTGACAAAATTTGCTTTAGAAAACAAAATATCTGGGGTGATATCAGTGAAAAATATTAATTCATTTCTCACAAAATCCATGGTTTTGCCCAAATCTTCCAAATATTGGGTGTTTGAGTATGGATTAGTGCTCCTCTGACTTCGAAAGGAAATTCTGCATTGTTTTTTTTTTTTGGCCTGATGTAGCGATTTTGCTACCGATTTTGATCGAGATTATCTTCTCATCCAGGACAAAAATTTCCAAAGTTAAGGTTCCTAGTCGTAGAGGAAAAAAAAACATTCTTTTAGGCCAAAAAAAAAAAGTTTCCGGTTTCTGGTATGGAGCTTGCCCCAAAAGTGGTGCGGCGACGCGGCTTTTTTTTTTTTTTACCTGTTTTTTTTTTTTTTTTTGGCTTCAAATGTCGGCTGATGACTGCAAATGGTGCCCGACTAAACTTAGTGCAAATATATGGGAGTCCAAGAGAGGCCACATAAATCTTATTCGCGATCATAACCCCTTCTAAAAACACGTTAAAATTGTGCAGCAGCAGAATTCCAGTCAAACCAGTGAGTTTGGCGGTTTTGAAACATCATCTTGTATTGAAAAAAAAACTTTTTCATTTTGCCGACGCGCATGGCTACGGCGGCGCGCGCGCATACCAGAAACCGGAGACTTTTTTTTTTTGGCCTCAGAGTTCAGCGTTTAGGGGAGCATTGGGCGTCTGGCCGTACTACAGAGCTTGCGATAGTATTGTTGATGTACCCTAACGTGGCGTGGCCCCTAGCCCCATAAATGTGGCCTATTAACTGGACTGCCTCCGTAAACATAGGCCACACATCCACATGTACAAAAATCGTGTCGACGGAGCCAAATTTTGATTTTCACATTTAGGCTTAGTTTGTAGGGTTTTTTTGCTTTAGAAGCATACTCACCCTCTTTATAGGCTAATCAGAAAGTGCTGCCTTTTTCAGATGTATATTTTTCGTGAAATTTCCAGATTCATTTTTACACGTTTGCGTATCAAAATTTCAACATGAAATTTCACAAAAATTAGACATCTGAAAAAGGCAGCACTTTCTGATTAGCCTGTAAAGAGGGTGAGTATGCTTCTAAAGCAAAAAAACCCTACAAACTAAGCCTAAATGTGAAAATCAAAATTTGGCTCCGTCGACACGATTTTTGTACATGTGGATGTGTGGCCTATGTTTACGGAGGCAGTCCAGTAAATAGGCCACATTTATGGGGCTAACTAAGATACACAAGAACCAAAGTGACAAAATCATAACAAACCTCGGACGTAAACAACAAACAAAACATTACGCTGTTTTGCTGTTGTGATAGCGTCGGTTATTGAGCCGACGAACCAGCGCATTGTCTTTGTCCGTGTACTTGCTGTGGGAAATCAAGCTCAGAAACTCATGGAAATTGTTCTTCTATTTTCTATACCGCTCACACGACGAGTGGACCCAAGCGAAAAAAACAAAGCTGCATGCATGGCGGCCGTACGTTACCTCGTCCCCAGGGTATATTATTTTGTTAACTTTATTTCCAATGGTGTGATCGTACTGTTCGACACTGTGCAAACGAGGTTGAGTCGTACGTGTAAATATTGCTGCCATCGGACATCCGCTAAAGAAAAGTGAAACAGGAAATACTTGCTCAGAGGTGCGACAGAGCGCCTTCGGCGTTAGATAGGTAACAAGCAGATTTGATTCAATATGTCATGTTATGAGCAAAGCCGAACTTGTTTTTCTTTGGAAAAATAATGCAGATGTGTAACATTTTAATGGAGTTTATTATCTCTTTTTTAAAAACACCACTCAGTTATGTGCTACATGGATAAATCGCCTTAAAGTCCCTATCTGTTTTTGGAAAGTGTACAGTATTAGGCTAATATGAGCTTATTGTACATAATACAGGAACATAATTAGGATTCAGAGATGGGGAGGCAACAATTTCCCCCACATCTTTTCACTTTTCATCATGCGTGTTATTTATGGCTTATTCTTAACACATTTTTTTAAAACAAAATTAAACAGTATGTTCACAGTATTCTTTCTTTAGTGTAAGCGCTTGTAATGTCTTAGTGACATGTATACCTAAAGCGTACCGTCAAAAATTGAAGGGGATCATACGAGCATTCTATTCGTGTTATGAGCAATGGGTTCAACTAAGAAAATCATTTAAAGGGGCACTAGGTCCTGAAATCCCCGAAAATGTTTTGGATTGTTTACTTAGCCTATTTCAAACATCTGGTTGAAAGGAAACCAACCTACTCAATCGGTTGTTTCCGTACTCTGTCGGTACTCTGTCGGGTATGTCATCTCGAGATCGAGACTCAGTCGTGAAAACAAATCGATTTAACTGATCCAGGTCGTATACGAAGACGTTATATTCGGTTCGAGGTCGTTTCGGAGTCGTAGTATTAGGGGACGACATCGCAGCACTTTCTGATGATGGTCTGCAGACTGGAGCTCGGAAGATGAAATTTGGCGCCACATTTCCTACGTATTTGGCACGATTTTCAAGAAATTTTTAAATCTCATGGTCTTGTCGGGGTCTTGGTCTTTGGTCTTGGATATGTGACAGGGGCTTTAGGGGGGTATACGACTTACTCGCGAGCTGGGCACTCCATTAAATAGCTAGAGGGGTGTTCCGAAAAACATTAAGTTAAGTGAAATTGTTTAACAAAGACATCCTTGTTTAGGCCGTTAGGAAAGTCTGTTAGCGATGTCGTTTCAAACTGTACATGTTTCTTTGTAATAGGTGTACAATATTATAATAGTTGCTTTACAATCATGCAGTAATCCCATATGCTTGTATTTTATCTTATTGTGTTGTATTGTTTTTGCAATGTAATGTATTTTTTACACGTGTGTACATTTTGTAGTGTATGCAGGGCCTCAATATAAACCAGTACATGTATTAAACTGTTTGGACATACCCTGGGTAAAGAAATGTAATAAATAAATAAATAAATAAACAAAATGGTTGGAATTTTTTTTTTTTTTTTTACTTGTTACGTCATTTGGACCGAAAAGTTGTGAATTCTCGACCGAAAAGGTATTTGGCTCGGGTATAATCACCATCCAGACTCCAACCGGTCTTCAAGTTTAAAACCTCCCAAGCACACCTTTATTCCCTTATTAATAATTCAAAATAAAAAAGCGGAATATTTTTTTTTCAAGGCGAAAAAAAGGAAGCTGGTTACCATATTTGAACAACTTCAGGAGAGTTGTAGACTTTAATGTAGTCGCTGCTAGAGGTCTTATTGATAGCATTGGCCGCCCCGCATAACAGTTATGTAATTGTATTCTCTGATATTGATAAGTATTGCGAAATCTCAACAACGTTACTATTTTCACTGACATTTATACATTTATCCCCCTTTATTCTTTCATTTGTTTCTTCCTTTATTCGTCTCTTCATTTCTTCATGTTTTTAAAGTAGTTTTCCTCGGCTTTTTCTCGATGCTTACGTGTGTAGATTCTGCGTCGCCTCATATGCGTTTACCTACCTAACGCTTGGGGCGCCCTTCCCTTTGGCCCAATTTGATGACGTTATCGTGTTTCATATATGCATAGGTCACTGTACAAAAAGATACCCAGTGTCCGATCTCGATCTTTGGTGCCATGCACTGATTAATTGCGTCCGTGATCGGCCGTCGTAGATTCTGCCCTCGATCATTCGCTGGCGCGACCGCGCGAGGGCGCTAGAGCTATAGCTAAGTCATATGACCGGAGGACTAAGGAAAGCTAAAGGCAGACGGATCCAACCTCGTCTCCAGGGTGTCGAACAGTACGCGCCCATCACTACCTGCTCTCTCACTATTGGAAACTAGGTTGGAAATAAAGTAAGCACTGGGGACGAGGTTGAGACGGATCGGACCTACGGCCGGAAGGCCACCGTGCGGCCACCTGACTGTGCTTAACCCGTACACGCGGTACATAACGTCACTCCTGCAGTCTAGTCCTGGGTTTTAAACAAATCGCTGAATTGCACCAATTCAAACAATAATACCCGCACTAATTAGGTACCCGTGTCAACAACACTCATACTTCATAGTCATAGGCCTGTAGTACTCTGTATAGGCCATGGAGGTAGGCCTAGGGGCCTAACGTTGGGGCCTAGGCACCGATCCTCTGCTCTGTTCCCCGTGTAAATGTAGTTGTGCTGGCGTCTAGTATCGAGATTCCAGTAATTATGCCGATAAGAAACCAAGACACAAGGATGGCTGTAAGTCAACTCATTGCATTGTTGTTGGTTTTTGACATCATGTAGGCCCGGCGCCCATGGCCTAGGGAAAAAGTGTTGCAACCTGACGCCACTTGTGAAGTTGTGTACGATTTAGCTGGAGTTACCCAGCCCTGAGTTTTATCATTGGGTTGTCACCTAGATGACAACCCAATGATAAAACTCAGGGCTGGGTAACTCCAGCTATGTACGATTGTGTATTGTTGATGTACCCATGGAGCTATGTACCCTAACGTGGCGCGGCCCCTAACGTGGCGCACTTTGATTTTTCGCCTGTAGCGCCTAGGTAGAGCAAAAGTTTTAACTGAAATTTCACAGAAAGTGAAATTTCATCAAGTTCTAAACACTCCCATGACTCCCGTTCATAAATTGCAAGTTTATTTACCCGCGCTACAAAGTTAAACGAAAAATTTATTTTGGCGTGATTTTCCGATTTTATTTAATAAGTGCAAAGTGAAACCTTTGAAAATGCCCCGAAAAGTAAGAAAATAATTTTCTGAAAAACATCTGGCTGGGTATGTAAGTAGAAATAATAATGATTTATCAGAATTTATCAAGTTTACAAAAAATTCTTAAATGTTAATTTCGAATTTTCCGAGATTTATTTAAGTGCGCCACGTTAGGGAACACTCCGCCAATTTGTGCCCAATTTACGGACGCCACTGTTTTTTAATATCGGCTTAAATTTTATGAAAGTAACCGAAATTGTTCACGGAGGTTAAAAATAGCAAGCATTAATAAGGTAAAAGTACCAGTATTTCACTGCATGAATTTAAGGTTTGTCAACAAAGAGGTTTGGCAACACTACACGAGGAAAGTTGGGTAAGCTTCGAAGTGCGCCACGTTAGGGAACACAGCCATACAAAGTCTGTGGAGAGTCAAGAATTTTTTTAAAGTATTTCCTAACAAAATTGGAAATATTTCTCAGTCCCAGGTATTCATGTCTTATCATCATTTTTGCATATATGAATGACCTTCATTGAGATGATATATGACGAAAAAAGTGGCGTCAGGTTGCAACATTTTTTCCAGCCCTAGACCAGCATTTAGTCCAAGTAACTTGGACCCAACTTATCGCCTTTTTAACATTCGGACATGGTCTGGTGATAGTAGGGTCCAAGCTAATCCTTATATGCCGAGCAACATAATTCTTTCAAGTTTCATTGACCCAAAAACCCAACATTGCCCAACAAAAACATCAGATTTCACCCTCAAAACGGCCTCCAAATTACTAGATACGCCACCTGAGGTACATCATTCAAGTAGTCCGAGTAACTAGGACTCGACGGATTGCTATTTTAACATTTGGACATTGTCGGGCGATAGTAGAGTCCGAGATCGATGGCCCATTGCGGCTACTATTAATTTTTTTTTTTACCATTTTCACTCGTACCCCCAATCAAAATTGTCAGATTTCACCCCCAAAACAGTCTTCAAACTGCCTTATGCGCCCCTGTAGGCTTCAGTGGGAAGTGAAAATACAAATGGTGGTGGTTAGGTTTACATACCTTTGGGAAGAAAAGAGAAATTTCACCTTCAATTCGGGAAACATCCTTGTCACAAATGCCTTGTTTGAGGCTGCAATTTTGAATTCAGGAAAAGTAGATGTAGTGACCAATCAAAGTGCCCTGTGATCAGGTGATTGGTCTGGTGACCAATGAAAGTGCCCTGTGATTGGTCTGTCTGATGCTTGCCAGGAAAGAGTGTAGCCAGAGCTATGCACAAGTCTACTTTTCCTGAATTCAAAATGGCAGCCTCAAACAAGGCATTTGTGAATGTGACAAGGATGTTTCCCAAATTGAAGGTGAAATTTCTCTTTTCTTCCCAAAGGTATGTAAACCTAACCACCACCATTTGTATTTTCACTTCCCACTGAAGCCTACAGGGGCGCGCGCATAAGGCAGTTTGAAGACCATTTTGGGGGTGAAATCTGACGATTTTGATTGGGGGTACGAGTGAAAATGGTAAACAAAAATTAATAGTAACCGCAATAGGGCCATCGATCTTGGACACTACTATCGCCCGACCATGTCCAAATGTTAAAAATGCGATCCGTAGAGTCCTAGTTACTCGGACTTAGGTACAAGTACTAAGTAGACATCGATAAATAAGATGTGCTGTACTGAAGTTTACTTACGATCTAGCCCGACTGCATCTGGCCGTACAGTACTACATGTATCGCAAGCTCTGTAGTACGGCCAGACCACCAATGCTTCCCTTGGGCAATATTATGAGTATGCATTTAGTTCATGACGTTTGTCGGACGTGCAGGGTGGCTAGCCAAACAAAACACGAGGTCATGAACTGACAATGCATATTTATAATTATAACACCTCACCCACAGATTCTGTGTCTTGATTGGCTGAGAGCGAGTCACATGTAACTATCTAATTTTGCTATCTTTCTGTGCACGGCCAAAAGTACTATGCGCATAGCAACCAAAGTACTATACCATTAGCAACCAAAGTACTATTTCCACGGCGTGATATTTGTGTGCAAATGCATGCTGGTGTGCGCGTTGTGCGTTGTGCGTAGCGCGTATTATTCCAAAGAGAGCGCGCTGCAGACTTGGGTTCAAACATTTCATGAAGGGGTAGTTTTTAAGAGAGTAATACATTTTCCACCAATTTTGTATTGAAATTGAAGTTTATTTCAACTGTGTTCAGATTTAAATAATTTAAAATATTAAAATCAAGCAGAATCTGTGGTTGAAGTGTTATAAAAAAAATATTGAATGCTTTATCTCGTGGTGAAGTAAAACTAGCCTCCCTCGGTGATCCATGGACCATTCTATTTTCCCTCGGCTTCGCCTCGGGAAAATAGAATGGTCCATGGATCACCTCGGGAGGCTAGTTTTACTACACCACTCGAAGCATTCAATATTTGTATATCGTGCTCAAGCGCGCCCGCATAATGCATACATTACAACGCGGCCGCCATTTTGAAATCGCATGGAGGAACATTTTCGGAACGATATTTGTAGCAGATGATGACTGAAAGTCGTCTATTTGCCGGATGGATGAACTTTTTTAGATAAAAAAACGTTTTTTTCGAAAAGGTATGAGTGCCTCTACGACTAGGAACCTTAACTTTGAAAATTTTTGTCCTGGATGAGAAGATAATCTCGATCAAAATTGGTAGCAAAATCGCTACATCACTGTTTAGCGTTTAGGGAAGCATTGGAGGTCTGGCCGTACTACAGAGCTTGCGATAGTACTGTACGGCCAGATGCAGTCGGGCTACTTACGATCCAGATGAAAAGTGAAATTTCCCGTTCAATTCCGAGAGCTCCCCTTGGGATCGTGAACACGTTAAATTTCCGATTCGTGTTTGAATTGCAATGTGGTCTTCATGCCCAGCGTTCATTCGATGGTCCCCGTATCCTGAGTGCGATTCTGTTACTGAGCGCACGATGCATCGATTATGATAATAAGTAGACTGGATCACGTTTGTAAGTTCAAGTGCGTTTCGAACGATAAATGGGAGTCGGGAACTAGCTTGAACTGGTTCCCGTCCATAAAATCTGCCCTAGTTCCCGACTCCCTATTATTGTTCGAAATGCACTTGTGTTTACAAACGTGATCCAGTCAGTCTACTCATTATCTAGTCCGAAAGTTTGAGACTCTCAATACTGTGTATGAGAGTCCCAAAACTTACATTGTAAGGTATTGAAAACATGCAAAACAAGAAAATAGCCTGGCACTTAAAACAACCAGTCCAACACAGCTTCAGTACTGCATCAATCAACCATCTATACTACAATCACGAAAATGATTGGGGGGCGCTGCCATTTTCCCGACCGGTCTCCCGTCCCCATCGCGCCCGTTGGCTGCGGGGGATGCGGAACGGGGCCCGGCTATTTCCACCCTATTTCCCATAATTCCCTTCCCCATTGGGCCGCGCCGGCCATCTTGCGTATGGGCCGGTGTCACATGAAAATTCGACTCCTATAAAAATTGGACCCCTATTTCCCTATTATTTATTGGTTGATCCCTCGCACGTGACAGGTCACTCTCCCGAAATGATCCTAAAAATAGCGCAGTATCGTACTCACGCGTGCACAGTACTACCAATGAGTCCACATTTCATGGAGTCGGATATTCACGCTACACCTGTCGTGCCACGTATACGTATACGTTCGTATAGAGGAGCATGCGCTGCATGCAGCGCATGCAACGGTATTCCATGCAACATGCAAAGCTAAAGGCATGCTTGCCCCACATTTCCTCAGCACTACTACTAGCTTCGTTTGATGGTCGTTTGATGCATTGATTATGCTACAATTTTCTCTTTCAAATGGTAAGTCCGATTTGTGCTATGACACATTATAGATTATAGTTAGTAGTAATTCTTTCGAACACCTCTGGCAAAGGATAATAAGTATTCTTTCGAACACCACTGCTGGCAATGACAATTGTTTGTGAAAAGTGTGACCCAATCGCGTGGGCCTCGGACATGGCGATCGTGTAGTATTTAGTATAGGCCCGGTTCCTATAAGGGAACAAAATCCACTTTAAAAAAGCCCGACCAAAATAGTTGGAGACATTCTCAATAAACAGGTATGTCATAGATAGAGGGCAGGGTTTTGATTTTTTTAGGGAAATTTGGGGGGGGGGGGGGGAATTACGATGACAGCACAGCGAAAACACGCAACCCGAAAATAAAGATGGCGATTACTGCGCGATGTGCTGTGAGCACGCACGGCGCGCAGAATCGTAAGGCACAAACCGCGCAAGAACAATTTATTTGTAGCTATTGTTAGCCGATGTCTTTTTTTTTACAAGTTTTCTTTGTTACTCCTTTACACAGGACTCCCGATGACACCCACATCACATGACCAGCTCCAACCATGCTCCAAGCATGCTCCAGTGCATGCTTCAACCAGTTCCCAAAGCAAGAATCTCAACTCAAGACGAAGACGTGACACACCTATTCTTTCCAGTTCAACTGCAAGATTCCTGCTTTTTCTCTTTACCTCTTTA